CCCCCCCCCGAGACGAGCGAGGACGCCTAGCTCCAGCCTGACCTGATGGTGCTGTCCAGCGAGGCTGTGGATTCGCCCAGGGCCGTGCGGAACATGTTGGGCTCCTCGCTGTAGGTGTGGTTGCAGTTGAGGGAGCGCTGGGGGAGGGGACATGGTCACTGGCAGAGCAGAGGCTACCGGGGTACAGAGGATGGCTCTGTCCCCATGGCAAGCCCCAGTGCCAGCACCCTGACTGTGCCCCTGCTGGGCACAGAGCACATCCCCAGTCCCCCACGGTGGTCAGGGAGTGGCTTCCTTCCCACAGCAACGGCTTCTCGTTGGGGTCCCACCCTGTCCTCTGAGACCTTGAAAAGTGGGGCTGTGACTGTGACAGACCCCATCTAGAGACCCTGTGCTCTCTCCCCAGGACATGAGGGATGGCGTCAGGCTTGGTGCCACTCTCCAAGGGGGTTCTGTGATGCCCCCTCTGAGAGGGACTCCGAGATCATGCAGCTGTGTCTAACGCTTGGTCTGGACACCCACAAGGACCCCCGGCCCCACGCAGGGTCCCTGGGGACCGCCTACCGTCAGTAGGGTGGCCCTCGTGGTGGCCGAGTCATCCGGGTGCAGCTTCTTCCCGGCGAGGACTCCCTTCAGGTGCTTCCGGACCTCCCTGTTGAGCACGCAGTGGAACAGGAGGACGAAGAGACCCTGGAGGGAGGGGCGGCCGGTCAGGGCAGGGACTGGCCCTCGGGCAAGCAGCCAGGGTCCTGTGGCCGCCATACTGCCTACCCACCTGCCCGGGAACACACAGGGCGCCGCCCCTCCCCAGGGCTTCTGCCTGCTCCGGGGAGCAGGGCAGGGCAGCCAAGGGCCAGGAAGGCCCCCCCATGCCAGGCCACCCGTGTCCCCAGTGTGACATCCTCAGTCAGCTTACTGGAAAGCCCTCGGTGTGAACTTAAATGGCCAACACCCTCCCTAGGGACACAAGTGGGAGCTATCTAACCTGAGGAGGGAGAATGAGCCCCCACACTGGCTGGGCTAAGGACGGTGCCCTGGGGGGGGTCCCTGAGGAACCCGTGGGCAGAGCTGGGCTGGCCACAGCAGCTTCCTTGGGGGGCGGGACCGTGTGCGGGGAGGCCTCACCGTAACCCCTGGCACACCGCCCTGCTGTGGCCCCGTGTGTCCTGAGAGCGAGGACACGGCCTGGACGCTGGGTCAAGGATGTCCCCGGGGACGCCCTCCGGGCGTTTCAGACGGGAGGGAGCACAAGTGACCCGTGGCCTCACCAGGGCCGGCCGGCTCCCCCTGACGGCCGCCCACCTGCAAGCAGCTGAAGACGGCGAACAGGTAGTGGAAGGCCAGCGCGTCGCTGTTCACGGCCAGCAGCCCCAGCAGCCAGGTGGCGCTGGTGAGCAGCAGCAGGAGGAAGGCGGTGCGCAGCAGGGAGCTGCGGGGGGAGGGGCGGGAGTGACTCTCGGCCCCGCCCTCCCCTCCACAGGGGTGCGCCCGTTGGTCCACCCCTCCCTCCCTTCCTTCCCAAAACCATTTTAAAGCACCCGCCACCTCTCCGCTCCTGCCACCTCTCCGCTCCTGCGGGGCGCAACATCACCGTCGTCACCGACCCAGAAAGTTCCAGAGCACCCCCCACCGCGCCCTGCCTGACCCCACTCTGCTGCGTCCTGCCCTGCACCTCGGCACCTCCCCCCACCCCTTTCCATCCCCATCTGTTAACATGACCCGGGTGAGGGGGACAGAGCCCAAGCCTCATCGCTTGCCCCTCCTCCCTCAGCCCTCAGCGTCTCGACCACCAAACGCCGCGGGTCCTCCGCCCCAACATCTCCGGGATCCCCGCGCCCCTCTCCCCGGGCCCCCTCCCTCTCCTCCACAATGCGCCCCAGCGCCCCTGGCCTCTCCCCACTTTGCCCTGCCCACCCACCCACGAGGCCACCCCAGTGGTGGCCAAGCTGGGGAGTGGCCGAGGGCCTGGCCGCTGGGTGACGGGCGCTTTCCGGGGGCTCTGCTGGGTGTGCTGACCTGCCCCAGGGGTCAGCGTGGGCGCCCACTTACACGGCTCCTTTCCTTTCGTAATAACGGTGCTTTCTCTGGCAGGCCACCTTTGCAGACAGGACAAAAATGACTGTGTTGACCTAAAAAAAAGTTCCAAAAACACCAAAGTCAGCAGGCCAGCCCGTGGGTATCACTTCAACAGATCTCCAAAGACCAAACGCTTTGGAGGGTCTGTGCCTGCATCTCGAGGAGAGGCTGGAATGGGCGGCCTCACCGTGGACCTGGACGTGGAAGGAAACCCGGAATCCACAGGCCTAAGGGCAAGGCCTCGTCGCCGTGAGATCAGGCCTTCCCGCCCAACAGGCCACTCTGAGGAGCCGCTGGCCCCCAAAACCGCCTCCAGCCCGTGCACCCCACTTCCCACGTCCCGGGGGCTCTGCGGAACTCCCGGACTCACAATTATAACCGTTCCGATGGGCCCGGCAAAGCTCCAGATGAGGGTGTCTCGAAGGGACAGCCAGCAGAAGTCGGGGTTTCCATAGCCCTGGGGGTCCAGGCCCACCGCGAGTCCTGGACAGCAGGGGAGGGGGTGAGGGCCACACGCGGGAGAGGACCCTCCCGGGGGGCGCGTGGTCACGGGACGGGCATGCCCAGCCCTGCACACACACTCCACGTACAGACCACACACACATACGTACATGCTACATAGAGACCACACATCCACACCCAGCCGTGCACACAGCGGGCGGACGTGGAGTTTTTGTGTGTCAGCGGCCACAGACGGAAGCCCGAACGGACCCGCCTCAGCTCCCAGGGAGCCCACCCCCGCAGCGGGCGCCGAAGGCTCACACTCGTGTGTGCAGACCCAAGGGCAGAGGCTCCTCCACTGGGGGCCAGTCGAGCTGGGTACCAAAGGCAGAGAAGGCCAGAGGGCTCGTCCGCCTGGGCCCGGGGGCATGGGCTCACCTGACACGGGCACCTGTGTCGGCAGCGCCACGCGGATTCCCCAAACGGTGGCGGGTGCCCTGTCCAGGACACCCCAGCCGGGCCGCTGCTCGAGTCCTCACCTGTGATGATGGCCGGGATGCCCCAGCCCACGACGTAGTAGAACCTCATGGGCCCGGCGTCGATGTTGCGCACCTCGGTCAGCATGTGGTACACGTGCAGGCTCTCCACAAAGGTCCAGGCGAAGGTACTCATGTAGACGTAGTGCAGGACGATGGCGATCACCGTGCACAGGAACTGTGCGGAAGGGAGTGCGGCTCAGTGCCAGCCCCGCGGGAGCCCGCGCCTGCCGCGCCTGGGGCCGAGGGCCAAAGGGGCACAGGGCGGGGGGGCTAGTGACCAAATCACACCACTTTGCAAACGTGAGGGTATGGAGGTCTGAGAAGGGAAGCCGAGTGAGTTGGTTTTTCTATTTGGTTCACCCGGAATGGCTGGGCACGAACAGTCACAGCGCCTCAGGCTCCCACCGTGGAACAGAGGACAGGAAGTGAGGCTGCTGGGGGCCTCGGGGGACCCACTCCTCAACCCAGATCGGTGCCTGGAGCGATCCAGCCAGGGGGCGAACGGTAGGCAGAGCCTCTAGGGTTTCCATTTGAAGCTGGAAACTTGCATGTTCGTGACACTGGCTTTAAAGTTCAAGAAGCACAGAGGCAGCGGTTCAGGCCGTGATGCTGGCCGTCACCCACCGCCCTGGACCCTTGTGTGGGTCTCCAGGGTCCAGCAGGTGTGGTCAGAGGGAGGGGGAGGCCCCACGCTTCGTGACCTGTCAGATAAAAAGTTCATCCTGCCTGCACTGAGTTCACGGAGCCATATACTTCCTGCCTCCCAAAAAGAACAGAGACGAGAGTATTTGCTCTGTTTCAGTCCTCAGCTGGGCAGGGCTACCCCCCCCCCCCCCCCCCCCCCCCCCACACCAGTGGGAAGAGAAAACCAACTTCCACAGGGCAGCTGAGGGTCAGCATCCCGGCCTCTCCAGGCCTTGGTGAGCCAGCCCCGTGTCCCTTCAAATGGGAAGAAAGCAGTATCGGGGAAGGGCTGGGGACACTGGTCACAGGGAGTCAAGTCTCTGAGGCCACCAGTTAAAGCGCAGTGCGAGGTGCTCTAGGAGGGACCTCGAACAGCCCTGTGCCTTGGTCCAGAGCAGCCTCACAGGGAGGGGCTGAACTGGCCAGGGGTCCCGAGGCCGGCTGGCTGCGAGATGTGGGCAGGTGCCCCGCCAGGTCCTAAGAAGCTGGTCAGGCGCTACGGAGAGGGTAACTGTGAAAGGGGCGAGAAGAGAAAGCCCCAGGCTCCGCCCTCTTGGCCCCCCC